AACATAGGTATAAGCAATAATAATAATATTGTAATAATTTATTATAACATCAACTTCTTCTTAAAAAAAAAAAAAATCTCATGCAAGCAATTTAGAATATTTTTTTTTTCATAAATAAAATAATAGTATAAATTTTAAATTATTATAAAAAATTGATTAATACAATAAGAAATTACTCAGATTCTATTTCTCTTAACCGACACTGAAGATCTGCTTTACATTCACTTGAATAGTTTTAGAATCTATTATGTTCATTTATCAACTCAATTTTTAAATTTAAATGTTTCTTCATACTATTATTAATTTTTACAAATACTTTTCGAAATGCTTCCTGTTTCTCGATACAATAGCGTCTATTTGCACGCACTTGTTGTACTACTGCTAGAATTCTGCTTTTAATAATGTTTATTTCTGAGTTCATGATTCTGAAAATTACATAGAATTTCAAAACTAGCTATTAATACTGATACATTGTTTATACGCTCATTATGTTAGAAAATTGATACGTTTTTTTTTTAATCTAAAATTTTTATTAAATTAGTTTTATTTGAACGATTATAAAACTTTAACAGTATTGAACATTAAAAACATTTATTATTCTTCGACAGATATTATATACACAATAATGTTATATTTTATAATTTACTACAATATCATTCGATATATAATTATAAGATAAAATAATAAATATTAAATAATAACAAAATAATTTATTTATATCGATTTTATTTTTTCGAAAAACAGAATATTATCAGCGACTATATTAATATTGTCTAATTTATTATACAATGCACTCTCTGTATAATTTTTTCACATAGATAGGTTGTATAAAGTAAACTTTTATAATCATTTAATAATTTATGTTTTTCTTCTTTCAATTTAATTCTTGTTGTTTTCAAAGTCGCTTTCGCAATCCTGATATTCAACTCGTTCATGTTTTTTTTGAAAGTGACTGTATCTGCATCCATACCGCGGTTGTTTTCTTACTACCTACGTGTTAATCATAATTTACTAACATGTTTAATACTTAAGAACTACGGTTCTCCTTTGAACAAAATTGATCGATTGTCTCCGTCTTTACGACATTTTTTCCAAGTTATTACTACTATTTCAGCTAATTTTCCTACGACTCCACCTCTCCTTCTTAATTTGTTGACCACTCGACCAATTCCAGTGGTTTCTAAAAGTTCCATAGTCATCGGTAGCTTCCAAAGTGTGCATATACATTCATATATTTGCTCGTTATCGCGGGACTCAACAGCTCTCGCGATTTTTCTGGCGTAGTGATTAATCACTCTGACCGACCTATATAAATGTTTCTTTATTGAGGTTAGTTCATATATAAGTGCTTATAGTATTTTATATTGTCAAATATAATTTAAGCATTTATAAAAAAAATTAAAATTAACTATGGTGACAGATCATGTATAAACTATAGTTTTCAATGATTATATTTAGCTTACAAAAATTAACGAATAACTAATAATATATTTACTAATTATTCATAATAAATTAAAAACATTTAACCTGTTCAAAACCTTTCACGTTTAGATTTTGCTGTCGTAAGAAAATTCGTGATATATAAATCACTATATTATTACACATATATCCATTTTATTTTCTCTTAATGAAACTAATTTTTTATTTAACTCTTTTATATAAGACAAATTTGGATTAGAATTTGTTCTACTTAAATAAATAGTGAATTTAAGGTTTTTAATTTTTTTTTTAAGATCTTTATATTCATCTCTCTCTTTAGTTTTATTTTCGTCAATCATCTTTGTTAATGTTTTAATCTGTTCTTCATAATGTTGAATTTGTTCACAGCAATAATCAAATGAATGCCAATAATTCATTATCTGTAATTTTTACCTAACTACATTAGTATAAAATATATAATATAGAAATCTAAATTACTTATTATATTATTCAAAGCTAAATAAAAAAAACTTAAACAAACTAAACAATATATCATTTATGTTATAGAAACATACTTTTAATTACTAGTGAAGCCGCGATTACACGATAATAGAAAAAACGCGATTGTTTCTATGCTAGTTAACCGCAGATAGCATGATAGTAACTATAGTGGAGTTCGTACGGGAACATTACGTAGTTGTGAAAGCAACTATTGTGTTTACTACCACCGTATGTCCACGGCTTTCGATCAATCTCGATGTAAAAGCAACAAAAATAATTTAAATTTATATATTATATACGTTTTAGGATATATATTTTTTTATACAGACAGTAAACATTATTGAATATTTTTTTAAATTAAAACATTTTTACGTAAAATAATATTACACGTAAAATACAACTATCACATTATCAATACCAAATATTTATAATCAGCGAACGTATTTCAACGTTGATAAAACTATAGATAACCGTAATAGCGTTTTTCCATCTGACTGTTTTACTCACGGTCTTAGAAGATAAGGTCGGACAACTTCTCACCCTCCCGCCTATTACAATATATCCGCTTAATGAGGCAAAAACATTTCCCAAGTTGCCGCAAAAGTGCTGCCGGGTAGACGTATTTTGAGGTTAGGAAATTAAGGAACCGGTGTTTACCGATCGGCCCGCCTAACAATTGAGATAAGTTTATACTTTATTATATATAATATTATTATATAATAGTATTGTTTATTTGTGTTATATCGATTTATAATAATCGATAATTCTAACATAGTTTGATACAAATAATACAAACTGCTTAACTGCGTAATGTTGTCTATTGTCTATTTGTCTAGTGGCAACTATAAACCCTTTCTATAGATGTTCGATTTATGTTTTTAATTTCTATTAATTTAGTTAGTATTATATTTTGAAAATGAGAAATAAAATTTGTTACTTTCATTGTAACACCTCTGAGAAACTCTCAGTTTTTAATATCCCTAAAGATAAACATTTAAAGGAGAAATGGTTACAATCTTTAGGGATAGATTATTTTAGCCCTACCGAGGTTATCTGTGAAAAACATTTTCGGGATGACCTAATAATTAGAACGAAGGATATTGTTGACGGATTAGGAAATGTTATTTGTTCAGTAAGTACCTATATTTGACGTGCAGGTCTGGATAGACACTTAGGAAGTGGATAATGCCTGTGGGCTCTCGTCTATGGTTATGCCCACAGTCTTAGACGACGATATCTCCTAAGACTGTGGTTATGTCAATGGCATCTACCAGTAATTTTTTTGTACTTGTATTATTTTTGTTACCTGTGACTAAATCACCATTTAGTTATAATTAAAAATGCAAAAGTATAAAAACAATTTGAGACTTGAGTACCTGTAGATTTAAATTTCTAGTGGATTGATATAATTATAATGTGTATGCTTAGCATTTTTAAAAAAACGAATGGTTACCCTAACCACAGAATAGATTTAATCTATGCTGTGATCTAATCCCATGAGACTCCCACCAATCCAAGCACTAATAATATATAAATAAATATTATTAACTTGGTATGAAACTGTATATGGTATATAATATTATGGGGTATACATGTATAATACCACCTAAAGTCTAAACGTCTAGTTGCATTTTGCTCTGGCTTAGCAAGTTAGACAGTACATAAAAAATTAACAATTCTGTATTGATAGTATTTTGGATTTATATTAATCATTTATTTTAAAAATTATAGTTATACTTATTTCTTTACATAAAATGTGAATTTTGTTAGTATTTTATACTTCTTATTGCAATTATAACCACTGCAAGTTATATATTTATATTTAGGCTCCACGATTAAGACCTAGTTTGAAGTCAAATGCAATACCACATTTATTATCATCCCGAAAAAGATTAAAATTTGATGATAATCATGAAAACTGTCAAGTAAATTTTCTATGAATCTGCTATTTTTTTTATACTTTTTCCAATTTCTAACCTTATCTGTATCAATTGTAGATTGATGAATTAACTAGTACACAGTGTACTTCTACTACAAAAGAAACTGTTTTTTCTGATGTTGAAGTGAGTTTGGTAATTATTTATTTACAAACAAACATTAAATTAATTTGTATAGGAACTCGCCAAAGAAAAAAATATTAATGATGAAAACGAATTAGTTAATGACATGGAAGTTGTAGAAAATATGGTTGATCATGATTATGTGATCAACACTTCTAGTGTTACAAATATTTTGGATTTTAATGTTTTTTCAAACAATGAGGAAGTAAGTAAAATAATTAATAACAATATAATATATAATCACAAAACTCAAAAACATAAATATATTTTTCAATAAAAAGAACAATTTTGTTGCTCATTTACAATATATAACATGACTGTTTTGATATGTTAATAGATTGTTTATAACACAATACAACTTTGGGAGTTAACGTTGCCTCCAAATTGGCATAAATATTTGTCTAATGATAAAACCGTAGTAGGAATTTCGGAAATAATTTTTATAAAAAATGGAGAAAACATAAATTCATTTTTACGTAAAAATATAATTATTGAAAAGGATTTGAAAATAACATGCAATATATTGGGGAAGAATATTAATGCAGAAAAGTTTCAAAATTCCTTAGATAAAGTGATAAGTCAACAACATTTGGAAAATGTCATTGAAGAAGCAGCAACAATGAAAATTTGTAGAGGTTTAGACTTCTTAAATGACAAAAAGTAATTAATATTATAAATTAATCATCAAATGCATTACTTAATATATTTTATGATGTAGGAGCAGTTCATCTTTAGCTACAAATAATGATAATATTATAGTTGATACTTTGTTACACAAAAGAAATTCCAATTGTTCCATAATAATTCCACATGGATATCATTGTTTTCCTTGTGCAAGAACTAGAAAGATGCTGAAGCAATGTTCAGCTCGATTAGTTGCACAATCTTCACCAAAACGAGTTACATTAAAAATGACACCTAAAAGTAAAAAAAAATTGTCATTATTACAAAAAAGAAATGAACTCTTAAGAAAACAAAAAAAAAAATTGCATTAATAAAATAAAACTATTGAAACAAAGTATGTCCGAATTATTAACTAAATTTGAAAATGTGTCAAAAGAAAGTATTACACAGAAACTTACTGAAATGAACTGTAGTGGATACCAGAAGACAATCATTGAAGAAATAGTTTCAGCCGCAAAGGTAATATGTTAACATGTAATCCTATTCAACATACAAATAATAACTATTGTTTTTTCTATAAATAAAAAAAATAGATCAGCAATCCAAAAGGTCGGGTGGACGAGTGGATAATGCTTTGTATGTTGTTGCATATCAGGACTCCAAGTGGCTATAATTTTTGTAAAAAAAATAACATACTGCCACTTCCCAGTGTTAGCTCTCTAAGATGGTATCTAGCCATGATAGATACAGCTTGTGGTTTTGATAAAAACTTTTTTGCATTATTTAAAAAACACCTGGAACGCAAAACTACAATGCAAAAACACGGAATTATTTTAGTGGATGAAATTTCAGTTCGAGAAGCACTTACAGTTTGTTCAAAAACTCTGACATATAAGGGTCTTGTTGATTATGGTGAAGAGTACAAGGCAACTGATATCAACGAAAAAGCCACAAGTGAACTTGTTTTTATGTTCCAGCCACTTGCTGATACATATTGTCAACCAGTGGCTGTTTTTGCCGCAAAAGGATCAGTAATTGGCACTGAATTGGCAAAACTTGTAATAAAATGTATCATCCTTTTAGAACAAGCAGGTGCAATCGTCCACGGTATTGTGTCTGATGGTGCTCAGACTAACAGGAAAATGTGGTCGGAGCTAGGAGTTAGTGGAGAAATAAATTCTTTAAAAAATTGGTTTCCTCATCCACTTGTTGATGATAGGAAAATATATGTATTCTCTGATACACCTCATCTATTCAAAAATGTGAGAAACAAATTATACAATGACAAAGTATTAAAAGTAAGTTCAATATATGTTGAGGTCTAGTATTTGTTTTTTTTTTTTTTTTTAATGTGTGTGTATTATAATTAACTATCTATGAGGTAATAGTAATTCTTTTGGAGCATTTTGCATGATTACAATAAGAAATGATGAAATATGTCATAAATATCTTTAAGATTTAGCAACCCAATATCCTTAATTTCCAGTTTTAGCCATGTGATAAAATTAGAAAACTCCGTAGCCTACCTAACCCTATAAATATAACATGCATTTGTTCTGTCTTTGTTTGTGTTTTGGTACTTCTATGTTTTTAAAGTTAGAGTAAGGGTTGTATATATTTTATTTTGTTAATAATGCATAATTTCAAATAAAAGTGCACTGCCGCAACGCATAAAAATTAGCTGTGGAACAATATCATAACCCTCTACCCCACAGAGAATGTCTAATTGTATGCGGGGGGCTGTAAAACACAGGAAAATAATGCACTGGAACATAATTTGCAGGAATAATAAATACAGGAAAGGTATTGTAAGGAATTGTAATAAACAGGAAAGTTATTATCAGGAAAGATATTTAACAGAAAAATAAAATCGGGAAGTAAAACCATTGGAACATAATTTATTGGAATTATAAATACAGGAAAGGTGTTATAAGGAATGATAATAAACAGGAAAGTTATTATGAGGAAATATATTTCACGGGAAAATAAATATTTGGAAATTAAATACTAGGAATGATTAATACATGAATAGCGTTGTAAGGAATAATAACACACGGAATATTATATTCAGGAAAAATAATTTCGGGAAAATTAAAACCAGTGTACAGGAATGATATTTTACGTGTAATATGTTATTTGGAAAATATTATTTAGTAGGAAATATCAAATAAGAAAATAAAACTTACAGACTATACCTAGGTACTTATTAATATAAAGACATTTTATTTTTAAGATACAGTGACGTAACATAGGGGGTTTTGGGTGTTGAACCTCCCTCCTTTGTATTTTTTTCACTAGGTATACAAATTAATACAATTTTTAAAAATATTTTGATGTATGTTATGTGACCCTAGATCATTTCCAGATCAAAATAGTGGCGAGGGCCACATTTCGTCCAAGACTGAAATAGCTAGTCTTGTAAAAAATACTTTTGAAAAATTATTAAGATACTAATACTAGTATTCGAATAAAAAACTAAAAAGTATTAGAAATACTTTTAAAATACTATTGTAAAAATGTATTTTACGGATACTCACAAAGTATTTGAATACAAATACAAGTATTTTTTTTAGTTTTATGCTATATGTAATATGATGTATATTGTACACCAGCATAAGTACCTATTATGTTACTACTTTCCATAGATTTTAACAATTACTATAACTTGTCTGATTATTTAGAGGTAAATACATGTTCACATATCCTATTCTGCACTCAAATATTATATTCCATCTAATATTGATTACATTTTAATGAAAAAATTAAAAAAAAAGTGGTATTAACTTACTATTAATATGGAACTATTTTAAAATTATTAGATTTTCAGTTTTCTTAAAAAATTTCAATACAGAAAGTCAGAAACTATATAAAATTTGATGTGCTATTTTTTAAGGTCTAAACATTGTTATTAAGTACCTACCTACTTTTACTATACAAAAACATAATATTTGTTTTCAACGAAAACAATATTATTTTTATTGATGTCAATTGTTTTTGAAAAATAATAAAACAAAATTAATAAAACGGACTTTATGGTATTTTAATACAAGTATTTAAATTTTGGTAAAAATACTTTTAAAAAGTATTCAAAATACTTAAAAAATACATGAAAAAATTGTATTTAGAATACCATATAAATACTTCAAAAAGTATTTAAATACAAGTATTCAAATACTTCTATTCGAATGCTTTACAAGACTGGAAATTGCCTTCCCGCACGAACCACACATACTATTTTTTGTCACACCTCTGCATTCATCGATCACGGCAAAGGTATAATGCTGGGACAATGCAACAACTAGACCATAAGGTTAGGTTTTTGATATAATACGAATTTGAAATACCTATCTAAAAACCTAAATCCTTAATTAAAAGTCCTATATCTTTATGAAACTTTCAAGGATCGAAGTAGAAGCGTGCCTAGATCATTTGCCATCTGGTAAAAGTTGTTGAACTCAATTGTTAAGGGAGTAAATGTTGTGTTCAAAATTTGAATTTTTCAAAATACAAATTGGCAAGAAATTGTGTTTTGCCAATTTCTCAAACTTACAATAGAGACGTGGCTTTTTTTAGAACAGAAATTTGATCTCGAGGTGTCACTGAGTTGAACCTCGAAGATTTCAAGACGATACAACCAACATTGAATGATCTAGTACTTCAAAATGTACATCCAGCAGTTCCAATTTTGTGTCGTTAGCTCAAATAAATATATTAGAGTAAATTGACCTTTTATTCTATAGGTTTTAATATTTTATTCTTATATACATATCGATTTACATTAATGAATTGTGAGCTACACGCCGACTAAAATAAATGCGAAAAAAAAGTTCAAAATAATTATTACTTAAAACATTAAACAGACGTAAGTCGTAGGTAAACCTTAAGGAAACGTCTGGTTATACGAATAATCACATATTGCGTTTTTCAACTTTTTGCTTCTCCGATTACGGGCAAAATAATGGTCGTACGTACTTCAACCATAGAGCCTTTTTGAATCCTGGTACACCAAAAGACCAGAATCTTGAGTTTTGTAGTGATCTAACGAAAACCCAAAATCCAAAATACACTTGACTATGTAATTTTCTAAGTACAAAAAGCACTCAAAAAATCATAACTCCCGAACCAACAGTCGGATAACCTCGACCTCGGTACCCATCGATACGGCGCAAAGTCCTCTATAACGTCCGACTAAAAAAACGGCTCGCCGCTCCCAAAATCTAAGTGTTCGTATTGAAAACGCGTATTGAGCGATGAATGTAGGCATTGCCGTATTGGTTTTATATTGTGTTTTGTTTTTTTTTCTGCCTTCACCGTTTGGGATAGTAGAACTGCTTCGATTTTCTTCAAAATTATCTTGTTCTATAAGAAAGTGAATCTAGTTGGTACAGTGGGGAGGTCAAAATTTAGCCAGGGAAAAGCAAAATACAAATTAAGGAAAAACGGAAAAATCCGATTTCGACAAAATCGATTTTGGTGTTTGGTGTAACTCTACAACAAATAACCGTAGATACATAATATAATATAATATAATAATGACAAAAAATGATAATCTAATTAAACGAAATTCTTTTATTTTTGATAGTAGTAGTACCTATATATTTGTATGTTCTGAGCACCTTTTTTACAGGGAGATTTCTTCAATTCAAGGTGCCATTTCTACATGCTCCACCGTGTAACACATAATCTCAAAAAGTGTAATGTATGTTCTGAGCACCGTTTTTACAGGGAAATTTAATCAGTTTCACTGGTCATTACTATACATGCTCCACCGCGTAACACAACACTTTAAAAAGTATGATTTTTAAACAGTTTATGTGATCGTGTAACACATCACAGAACTGTGTATAGGTATATGTATAGGTATAAGGTATCTATATAGTTTGTTACACAAAAAAAATATTTATGTAATTTTTATTTTTAGTTTAGTAGTAATAGTACCTACTTAGTATATTATATTAATTTTCTAATTATAAATGAAAAATTTGATAACATACTAATATACTATTTAAATTTTAAAATGTTGTGTAACACGGTGGACCATGTAGAAATGACCACTTAAATTGATTAAATTTCCCTGTAAAAAAGGTGCTCAGAACATACATTACACTTTTTGAGATTATGTGTTACACAGTGGAGCATGTAGAAATGGCCACTCAAATTTAGGAAATTTCCCTGTAAAAAGGTGCTCAGATATGTTATATATACTACTGATAAGTGATAGTTGTAGGTAGTATGAAAATAAACAATACTGCAGGGGCCTGAATGTTCTGGTGACACCAGCAATTCTCCCGAAAATGGTGGATTTTGATTTCAACTATATTATTATCATAAAAATATAATTATTATGAAATCTAATTAATATTTGATAAATATAATTTGATAAATTTTGTAAAAATTCAACAACTAGTGAAAATTTCATGTACACCAAAAACCAAAATCGATTTTGCGTAAAAATTCCCGTTTTTCCTTAATTTTTCTTTTGTTTTTCACGGCGCTTTTGAAAACTATTGCGAATTTTAAAAAATGACCTCCCGAATGCACCAACTAGATTCACTTCCCAATCGAACAAGATACTGAAGTTGAAAATCGATTCATTATTTCGACTACTTATCGTGTACAGACACACACAAAAAAAAAAACACACATCATTGTAAAATCAATACCACATTCATCGTTTCACTCAGAATCTAAAACTAATAAAAGGATAGGATATTAATAAAAGTAAAAGAAGATTGGCAAAATGTATACTATATTATTATATTATTGAATATCAAAGAAATATAAAAATTACAAAAATTAGTGAAAATACTTAATATACAAATTACAGTATAATAATTAATAATATAATATACAATATAATTTATGTAACTCATTGAGTGTTGTTTTAAATAAATCATTAATACAGATGGAAATTAGAATTACCAACCAACATTAGTTTATTCACAGGAGAGTGCATATTATTAGAGAATATTACATACTTTTAAGGCTGATTCATTATTAAAATGTGTACAAATTTCTTTTATTAAATATAATTTCACATACAATTTATTTTTTATGGTATAAACATGATATTTAAAATAAAATTTGGGGTAAAAAAAACACTTGCCTAATTCATTAATTATATTTTATGAGGCAGTTTTATATTATTAAGGCAATAGTTAAAAAGTAATGTATATGTATGAATTAATAGTAAAGTTGGTTAATAAATGTAATTCAATATAGCTACATATAGGTAAACCTAGAGACAAAAGTACATAGTATTGATAGACTGATAGAAATACACTAACTAAAACAGTGGATAATTATTAGAATATATGTTTTAAAT